TCCCCAAAACCCCAAAACCCCAAAACCCCATCTCTGGACTTAGAAATTGAACCAATAATTATTCTAAATCATACGGCTTTCCAAACAAATTGATCATTTTTGGGAGGCAGGTGACTATCACATTCTCGCTTTCGTAAATCTCTCCATCTATGTTGAAGGAAGTATCAGCTCCTAGAGAATTTTAGACAAAACTTACTGGGATGAATCCTAATTTGCTTCACTTCTTGGTGGAAATATTTTGACATCTTAACTTGATTTCCATGTCCTGCTGATACCTTTGCCATCATCATCAACATTTCCACTTTGGAGCACTCTTTAAAGCCACATAAGAACATTTTGCCATCATTAATCCTAGAGAATGGTGCAAAGATGTCCTTGGTTCCACTTCTACGACACTCATGAGTGGTCAGTACCATCACTGATACTTGTTTGAGGTCTATATTTTCCCAGTCTATTTCGTCCTTCTGGTTAATAATAGCTCCTAATTGCGACATTCTCTCTATATTTTCGTCATCTGATTCACAAATCTGGTCTTGCTTGATATCAAACTCTCCCTTGTAGATATTATGCCCTTTCATAGAATCAGTCTTGACCAGCTTGTAGCTTAAATTACTGGTATAACAACTCTTATCGCTTTTGATCTCTTCACTTTCGATTATAGGTACGGCTGCTTGCTCTTTAAGATTTTCCTCCTATTTGTTTTGATTGGGATTTCAAAACTTACGTCTGTCTCTTTATCCTCCTCTATTTTGCGTTTGCTTATTAGAGTTCTAGTGATGTCATCTGGGAGGCCTGGATTATGCTCAACTTTAGTTAGGTGGTGGGATCTCATATTCCATGGACCACCAGCTCATAATACTTCTTTGGCACCACAAGCGGTGTATCTGGAGGCGCCAAGACATCCTCTCCAGTCGCTAGAGGATTCTATAACTTTGGAAGGGAATCCCCATGAGAGGGCGGTTCAAAGGATAGATTTATTTGGAGTCTTCAAAGTCCGCTCTAATGATGTCCCCTTCTATTGTTTCTCATCTTAAGAAGTTCATGCAAAGATCGAAGATATTGTTTCCTCCAAGGTCCATTGCAAGTGCATTTCCTGTTCCACCTGGAAGTATACAAATAGGTATCTTAATAAGAGTGTCGAAGAAGTGATGCTTATAGCATGAATTCAGGTAGAGCGCAAGGAGTCCGTCTCCTCCAATGATAACGATGTCAGTGTATTCACAGATCAAAGAAGATTCATTTTCTCCTTCCTTATTAGTCTCTTGGATTTCATCATATGTCCTTTGCTTGAACTTCAATTTGGAGACCCATCTGTCCACAAAATCAGGTCCGTCAGTTTCTAGGATTTTAAACGGAAACTTACTATAAACCTTGTAGTTCATTCTAGTGGCCTTGAGCAAAGGTCTGAGCTTGGTCTTATAGATATTATATGCTTCCTGCTTTCCACTGATCGGGTTGATCAATATCGCAATGTTTCTCTTCCTCTCTCCATCTATAATGTGAGTTTGAGCAAGATATTTACATCTTAGTTTGGTGAGTCCTTCCAGATTTTCTTTAGCATATTCATAATCTTGTTCCAACAAGAAATTGAATGAGTAATTATCAACAGGATGTATTGCTCCCTCAGTCTATATGAAAATAAGGTTTTGTTTAACAAAGAGCGATCTGATTTGCTTTCAGATCATCATTGAATGTTCATGGATATTTCAAGCCAGAAATGCTAATAATTATCCAAGTTTAATTTTCTCATGTTACTTTAAATTCTATCATGAGAGCTTTCTAATATTTATAATTTAGCAAACTTATTCTTTAATAAACTCAGGCTAAGGGACTTCAAATCTCAAGACACACTTACCAAATAATGGATCTTGGCTTCGTTCATATTATCATCAAACTCAGGCATAACAAGTTCGCGATATTTTCAGATTATTTTAAGTGGGAGTTTGAGCTTTTTGGTGCGATCATTTGAATATGCTTTTCTAAGATTCTCATACTCATCTCTTGGAATCTTGAAAAGACCATGGGCCTCATTAAAGAAGTAATATGCTGTTTCTTCATCTTGCCTTCCTAAACCCAAGCAAGCTCGGTCTAGCTGCTGATATTCTGTCACATACGTTTGAGTTCCACCCATATTTTATAAAATTTATTATTCTATCTGACTTGTTAACAGTGGGGTTTTGGGGTTTTGGGGTTTTGGGGTTTTGGGG